CAAGACTGTAACCTGCTTCTTCCTCCTTCATCTCCTCCTCAGCCTCATTCCTCCTCTCTGCTGCATCTTTAACATGTAGTTTCTGTTTGGCAGGGCTGAAGCCTTCTCTGCCTACATCAGCGATCCTGCCGCTTCTCTCTTGCAGCAATTGCTCTAAATCTTGAGCAGTGATATCCAACCAGCTGTCACCTTGAGATAGGCAAAAAGAAACAAAATTATTTGTAGGCAACTGGGAATGTAGGAAAAGATTGATATGGGCAACATGCACACGTATGTTATGAGCACTTTTATTTGCATTTCATAAAAACAAGGGAACCGTATTCCTAAATCAATCAAGTAAAACAAAAATTAAAAATGTTTTTTTTTTTTTTTTTTTTAATCACCTGCATTTACTGAATTTTAATATTTTACAATACCCAGTTGTACTTTTGAGTTAAAAGCTGCTGCATGTCTTTGCTCCACTTTACTAACAAAAACGCTGCTAAAAGACAGACAGTTGTATTGTTCTTTTTTTTTCTTAACATATGGGGTCCAAGCTAGTTTTGGAAAGTAAAGTGGTCATTGGTCATTTTTATTCTGAAACATAAACGAGAAGAGATAAGAAACAAAAAGCCCTTAAAAATTACAGTATGATTTTGTTTGTTTCATATTTTTACTATAGACTATGAATCAAAATTTGTTAAAAACTCCATAGAGCTGACAGCTTAAAACAGCTGTGATAGTTCAGCTACAGCAGCAATGTGTTGCTATTCTGTTTTAAATTAAATAAAAAACTGGCCCATAACTTAATTAAAAAATTGTTACAAAACAATAATTAAGAATATAAAGGAGTAAACTCCCAATAAAACCCGTTTGTCCTGACAGTAAGACACGAGAAAAAAATAAAAGCACAAATTCATTTTAAATCTAAATATTAAACAAAATAAGAAGTATCTGATGGCCGCTTGAAGCTGACGTCTGTAATGTTTCCTGCTTCTATATATAATTGCATATACAGATGACAATTTTCTTTTAGAAATTTAAACCAAAAACAAAACCCAGAAACAATATTTTATAGCAGAAAAGTGATGTGATTTGTTGTCCTTAAAATATTCACTCACTGTCTTCTTGGGGGAGTTGTGGCTCAAGTTTTTTTAACTCTTCCAAGTTGAAAGGACTGCTCTGAAGCAGCTGGAGAACCTCCTCTCCTGCAGAGCGGGAGCTGAAAAAAAAAAAAATAATAACATTCACAGCAGGCTGAATTAGAAAATGAAAGTTGTGTTAGACTAGACAATTCAAACAGTTGATTCACTGATGAGACTCCCTGCATGAATCCTGGCAGTAACAGTTAGCATCCTCACCTTGGCTGTGACATAACTGATTGTTTGAAGAATATTTCTGCAGACCTTAGGAGTTCTTTATACAAAGACGAACCTTCCAGCTGGTCCTGCGTTTAAAAACATGGACATTAAAAAGGACTTTAATAGGAGAAATGTTGTCAATGCTGGCAATGACATTGAAAGAAAGTGTATCTCACTCTGAAGTAGCCATTCTTTTTTAGACTCTCCATGAAGCTTTTCCACTGAGGGTTGCAGCCTATCGGAGCATCGGGCTCAGATGACGGCGTTCTGCACCTAGAGCACAGGATCTCAAAGCCGTGGGCCTAAGAATAGGATAAAAAAATTAGACAAACTTTCATTGAGAGCGTTACAGACTTGCATGAACACAAAAGAAAACCTAAAACGATGGCTCACCAGTTTCATTCCAAGCTCATGAGCTTTGTACAATGGATGAGAGCGAGGAGGCAGGTCGTAGCCGCTCCTCCGATCTGGAGTGAACTGCTGCTGCTGAAGCTGGGCATACAGGCAGCGGGTGAATTTAACCTGGAGATATATGCAGAATAAGGGTTCTATTTAATGAGAGCTGAAAGAGAACCACAATTATGTGTTGTTAAATTGCATGATTTTTACCAAGGTGAGCACTCTTGTATCAGGAGGAAATGTCTTGAAGGTCCGACAAGCCCGTAAGTCCAAAGGATCCCGCAGGTAGAAGGCAGAGACTGCAGGGGCCACCAAGTCTGGACGCTGTGCCAGAACAGAAGCAATGCCAGCTGGGATGAAGCACTTAGCCCGGTGGAGATTATCCTTAATCTTCTCTGGATACCTACAGGTTAACAGCATTGTTTTTCAATTGTTTTTCATTTACACACCTCTCAAAAATATGATTTGGATTCCTGCATTTTGACGTTTTATGGAGCCAGAATGACGTTGGTTAGAAAAACAAATGTAATGTTTTTCCATTTCTAACTTTAGCAGCCACGCACAGAAGATGTTGCAATTGCCGTTCTCATATGATGATTATAAAAAGTCAAACAACAACTTTGATTCTATGAAACCTCACCCTTCTAGTCTTTTCTTTAAAGATGAAAGAATTTTTGGGTTCGCCTGACATGCTTCAGGGTGAGCAGAGAGCAGTGTGAGAGCTTGTGCCAAACTGGGGACCACATCGAGTGAGAAGCCGACTGAACTGGATTTGGATGGGCGAGGAAGGATGTGCAGCTCTCCCCTGTAGATGAAGACCTGCAAAGGAAATAAAGCAGAGATACTTTTAGCATCAAATGGAGGACTGGGGCATTATTTTAACTCAGATCTCATTCATTTCCACCAGCAACTGATTCAATCTTCTTAAATATGTTATTTTGGAGGTAGTTTTAGTTAGCTGTTGATGGATGTGTTGAAAATACAGTTTTTCTTCATTCAATATTAGCATAGAGTGATTCAAAATCCAACCGGCCTATTTTTTAGAGACCAACTTACTGAGTGGGATCCTCAAATGAAAAGTTAGGTAGCCTACATAAAAATCCAAACGACTTACCCTGTTTTCACTTGTGTCTGGGTTCAGCCACTTAGGAAGAAAATCAGCTGCTTCGATCAGAAGAAAGTCCCCATCATTGTCTTCAATTCTGCACACAAACAGTTTTTAAAAAGTTTAAGAAGCAGGCAAAGGTCAAAAAAGAAAGAAATACACTTATATAGTATGTTGTATAACCTGGCTGCAAGTTCTGGGAACAATTCTGTGATCTGCTGCAGGAGGTAAACAATAAACCACTCATCCTCAATGTTGTCTCCGAAGCAAGTGCTGCCTCCAATGTGAGCAGGAACATCTCCTGTCAACAAACAGAAACGTTTAGGTGTATCTGATATGTTTTTTGCTTTTTAAAGTAGGCAGATGAGAACAAATGCTGCCAACCTATCTATGAAACATGTAAGTAAAAAAAAAAAAACTAGGTTCAGCTTTGTTTAGGTGCATACTGCACTGAAACTGAATAAATATACTAACCTTGTGCTAGGATTTACAGTGAACATTAGTTATCTCAATGCTCTTAAATCAGACTTTGGATATGACTTAAATTGCTAGGAAGTTAAGCTACAGAAATAATAAAAAAAAAACATTATTTTTAGGACTATTTTAAACAATTTTACCAGAGGTGCCACCAAATGCGTCCAGGTCTGCGTATCTAGTTGTAAAAAGAAAGAAAAAAGCTACACCAATACCTATTTCTGGATGGTATTTCAGATTGAATGGTTGATCCTGCCAGATGTATTGGACCAGAAGTTTGGCTACTTTAGCCAAAATCTCCTCTGTCAGGTGTTTGAGGCGTTCTTCAGTCTGCTGGGGAGATGAACTCTCTGCATGGACCAAGAAAAGTTTATACTGGACCAGATCTTCCGGAATCCTCCTCCTCTGCAAGGCGTCCATTGGGATTTTCTTTACGACTGATGGAACAACAGGAAACCAGAACCCATCGAAGGTGTTTAGTCCATCGCTAGCAGCTGGAAACAGTTAACCACGGAGGAAGATACACTCACACAGCATCGCTTTGAAAATGTAAAATGTAGTCGGTTTAGACAGAACCCTACTTAAAGAGGATGCGGATCACGCCAACTGTCAATGTTTAAGTCCTTCCCTAATTTCCAGCCGGCTTCACCTTAGTGTTTGTTCGAAGGTTCCGCCCTACCAAATCTTTAATTTAAAATTGTGTCTAGGTAAAAGGAGAGCTTTACTAAAATTAAATAAAAGTCATTTATAAATAAAAATGCATTTGTGATTTTTTCCCCAGTATTTTTCACGGACGTTATTATATCAGAAACAACACGTGTTGTTTTTATTAAACATAATTTATCATTAGTGCACGCCTGTATCATAAGTGATCTTTGCTGGAATTTCTAGTGAACACAATGTAAAGAATGGTTAAATATTTACTATTCTAGTTGGTTTTTTTTAATACTGATATCTAATAGGGGATCACAGTAGAATATATCGATCAATATTAATGCAAAACAAAACAAAAAATGATCACAGATTTCATTGTAACCCAAACAGATTGATACATTGTATCGTGATAATACCTGTGATTTTGGTGGTAACTAGTAACATTTAGTCAGTTACATTAACCTGAGTACATTTTGACAAAAAAAAAAAATAATAATAATACTTTTAGGAGCTGTTTTACTTTGCTGCATTTTTAGTAGAATTATATTATTTTGAAGTTTTGCTATTATTAGGCATACTGAGTAAACATTTGCCTAAAAAACGGTGAATGACAGACACCGTCACTGGAGGAACTTTAAATTGTTCTTACAGTTATGCATTACATATTGTAAGGATTGGTTTAATAGGTTATATGTTGAAAATGAATTATTTATTTATTTATTATAAAAGGGTTTTAATTTGCTTGATTTATTTTTAGTGTTGCCTTTATTTTAGTTTTTTTTAAATGTACGTTCATTTTTAAACAACTTTAGGCTTTAATCTTAGTCTATTTTTACGTCATGTTTAAAAGTAAATCAGATAAATTATGATTAGTTGCTCAATAGCCTGCTTGAGTAACTTTTCTCCAAAAAAATTTACTTTACTTTTTTACAAAGTAGTTCTATTTTTAAATGTTTTAGTAGGCACTTCTGCTAATTTTCCTTTGTTTTGCTTTTGGAATACATTTCCCAGATATCCGCGCGGTTATGACGTCGTGTCTCCATGACAGCCATGCTATTGTTGTCGTCGGTTATGCTAACATTAGCATCGCATATGTCCGAGGAGTTTGAGCATTTAGAAAGGCTGAATGGATAGTACTTGATTGTATGCGATCAATGTTTGATGCGACGATATGCACCATGATTTAGAAGCGATGCGGAGCCACCTTCACCTTTTTTATATAACCGTTTATCCAGCGCTAGTTAGCTAATTTACAAGCATAGCCTCCCCCTTTACAGTGATCCGCAGTCCTCCAGATTCAGGTTTTTCTTGGTGGGGACCGAGAGAGGGGCACTGGAGGAGATGTTGGCGCTCCCTCCCTGTTCGCAGAGAATCCAGGGAGAGGAGGCAGGGATGAGAGACGTGGGCTTGAGCCTTTGAAACGGAGATAAAAGAGGATGATTTCACGCTACAACAGGAAACAAGTATCGCACAAACTTGAGATGTGAGTACTAAGCGTTACAGCTACATTGTAAAACCAGGCGACAAGGTTTAAAACTGTTCCTTACGACTCAAACCTCTGGTAAAAAAAAAAAGGAAAAAAAAGCTTAATGCTTTAGTGACTTGTTAAACACATTTACATCTCATCTGATCTGTCTTGTAATTGAAAGAGGCCTGAAATATTCTGAATTTTACAAGTATGGCTAGTGAGATTTTACTTACCGGTAAGTAAAAATATTAGGATTTCAGTGTATCAGTGTATGTTTAACATTACTATGCTTAACATGATGTAAAAGAGGCAACACTTGTCCTACCAAAGATAAGCCAATGCATTAACACCTATAATTATAATAGGATCAATAATATTGCCAATTTTCCTACATTGACACATAAGTAGGATAGACACCATGTAAATATATAAGAACCTTTAAAGTGCAGGATATTATTTTTTTTCACTGGATTTTATGAAAAGCTTGTAGTACCTTGTAAATAAGACGGATAGATGAGGCTCCTCTAGTTTGAAAACGATTTATCAGACATGTTCCATTATCCAGCTGACAGACAGTGTGCAGCAACAGGAGGGTAGTGGGCAGTGATGGCCTCTCTTTCCATAGTACTTTGGCTAGAGTGGCGCCTTTAACTGCATATTATTATAAGAAAAAAAACACCCCACAAGAATGCATGTGGAAATATTTTGGCATTTGTGAAACCATATATTTTAAAAACAGTTTGATGCTTTAATACTACTAATCAGTTCATAGCACTTTATTCTTAGTACGTACTAGTGATCCCCATGTCTGTTTCTACTATCTGTTACTATATAAACAAGCTGAATATTTTTATTCCAATAGGTTTTGTGTTTTTATTTTCATATCATTTTTCTATTACATATTTTCTATTTTACTTAATCCCAAGCAGACAGTACTATTCCTCTGCTGCTGCTCCTCTTCCACAAATGCAAAAGAGTATACTTTGTTTTTCCCGCCAATTCTCCTAAAAATCATAATAAAGTCCAAATCTTCGATAGGCACCAGCAAAGGTGAAATAATTTTGCCTCAGTATTTAAATAAAAGCAGTTAGCCAGTGTATATTTCACGCTTAGAACATTTGTGCAATTCTCTAGCATTCATAAGCTGACCCATGCCTACTGCAAACTCTTTAAATACAGTGTGTAAATCTTTTTGTGTCAGGATTAACTGCTGTTCCAGTAAGAGAGAAAAACAATATATCATTTTTCATCATGCTAGTTTGTTAATCATTCCTTATTATCTCTTTATGCAGTCGTGGTTTGTCTCGAAGCAGCCTCGATCACCACCCTCTCCCAGAGGAAGTAGACGATACCCAAACCCCTCCGCGTTACCTCCATGACCTACAGGAGGCTGTCTCTACACACAACAGGTAGCTGAGGGCCTATAGGCAAGAAGGACCATGATGTAGAACAAGGGACTATACTAAATATACACACACACACAGATACTCTACATGTTTTGTAATTGCACACCGTCTTAAGCAGACAGCTGATTCTCAGGGCTCTTGTTATGTGACACCAAGAAGCAGCGGATTAATTAATATCACATTGCCTTCTTCAGATGTGCAGTCAAAAGGATGAATAATTAGGCAGCCTGTTAGAATATTCTAGCAAGTTGACATTTGCTCCTTGTTTCCACTGATTCTATCAGCAGCCGCCACTAATTGTGTTTCTGTAATCCTACAAAATACATTTCTGCCACATTTAAATAGATATTGGACATGTTTTGTTATTCATGTGAAATCAGGAAAGAAATGGTTTTCTATGTGATGCTCATACCTCTTGAAAATTTGTAGATCATGTTACATTATAGCCTCAAACCTGAATACATGTTACAGGGATTTTAGAGAAAAAATATTTTTAATATTTATTTATTTTAGATCTAGACTTTGAAGGGCCTTTCTGATACCATGGTTTCCTGTCTCTGATTTAGTCTGTTTTTTGTTGCTTTTTTTAATAATGTTTCATTAATACCTTTTGGTTGCATTAAAAAAAGGAGATTGTTCTTACGTCAGTGCTTATTGCTGGAGCAGATGCTCAATCTTTTTCCAAGTCTTCCTCCCGTTTCCCTGCCCCTGCATGAAGAAAAGGATTCCCCCTAGATGATGAAGCCTTCACAAAATACATAACATTCTGCATGTGAGCTAAACAGATCGGTTTTGTTTTTAACAGAGCCCCTGCTTCTATATATTCAGTTGGATCCCTGCTTGGCTCGTGGCAAACCACATTTTATATCCTTCTTCTTCCACCCCTCTGTGAAATCTAGACTCTCAAACGTTGAGATCCACCAGGCTATTTGCTGCTTCTTTGGTTAAATCTCATCTTCTCAGGCCCCTGAGGTTAGGTAGATAGTGATGTCTTGGAAGGTTTCTGGGTTCGTTCAGCATCATGTTGCTTTATATTGACAAATGTTTTCTAACAAACCAGCTGCTGCCCTTACAGAGCAGCTGTATCTGTACTGAGGATAAAATGCTTACTGATGAACTGTTTATTAGATATTATATGTATTGCACTGCAATGCGGTTTAAAACTCTTTTGGGTCAGGAACGGTGTCTGGACTAAAAACTGTCTGTAAAAAAGCCATAATGACTTGCTTTGGTGACTTCTGATTATGAAAACAGCTGAAACAACACAAATAAACAAAGCAAAAAGGGTCTATTTTTAATTTTATTTGTTAACTATTTTAAAAATATTATTTTTCTTCTCATAATTATGCTTTATTTGTTTTTGGCCTATCACCCAAAATCTTACTTGGATTCCTCCAGGTTTGTGTTTGTGACATAGAAATGAATTTTCTGTTTGCTGTTTAATCTTTATATTTATATAAGATGTATTCAAAGATCGCTGTATTTTCCATTTAGTTCTCAGACATCTGTCGCTTCAGACCAATCGGACTGTGAGACGGTTATCTCAGTATCATCCAGCCAGCCCTGGTCTGCTATTCCCAGCTCCACAGGAACCGGTATCTCCACAGAGAGGAGCTCTGTTTTCTCCTGGGGATACGATGTAAGCTGCTTTTCTTCAGAAAGAGATTTTATTATGATGTGAAAAAAGCCAACCTGTCCCAGTCAGTTGTTAAAGGAGAATTTATTTATTTATATTTTGCATTCAGAGCATTCTCTACTGTTTGCTCTGCTTCTACACCAGCATCCTGCCACATTCTCATTAAGTCTAACCAACATTTATCACCTTTTGGAAAATGTGTGGGAAACAGACAGTATCTGTGTAGAATACCAGATGGCTAATTTGCATGCAGGTTGCTTCATGCAAAAGCCTCATTCCAGTGGATTTGCTAGAATACTGTATTTCTTAACTCAGCTGGTTGATAAATTATATTCCCCCCTATTAGTTAAAAGAAAAACAAACTCATGGCTCTCATTGTTTTCCCTCAGTTTTTATTTCAAATGAACTTCTCTGTTGGATTGGAAACTAGAGTATCCAACAGTAGCTTTTTTATAAAAAGGACTTGAATGCAAAGCAGCAACCTTCAGCTGTAGATTCAGTGTAAGAACAGACGAATATTCCTGAAATGTGTTTTTATTTTTACTGTCCCACAGGAATTCGATAAGGCGGCATCGCGGCAAGTGCAGCAAATGTTTGATGAGATCGACACAGAGCTGTACGAAGGGAGAGGCAGCGGGGAGGGAATACTCCAGGGGCTACAGGACGAATGTCAGCAGTGGACCTCGCGGTTTCCACATCTTCGGTAAGTTTGTCACTGTTTTCCTCAAGCTTCTGCTTTTATTTTGTAATACTAACTTTTATCTTTATGTGTGTGTTTCTCAGGATTGTGGGGACTCAGCTTATGTGTCCCACAGATGAGGGCTTCCAGTGGTACGCGACTCCAGGGAGTGCCAGCCCTGCCAGCAGTCCATCAACAGGCAGAAAAACGGCTGTGAAGTGCCAAGGCAAAGAGAAGGGGGGTGCAGAGTAGGTTGTAAAAAAACACAAACCCACTCACTCTTCTCACTCTTTGATGTGAAAATGTAATTTTACTGGTGGTTACATCCGGTTCTGTAGAGCAAATTAAAAAATTGAATCCCTCATGAGAATGGCACATGGTGTTTAGTTGTCGTTTGTGGCTAAATACGTTTGATTGAATGATATCTCTCTATATATGTCTTTTTGACAACATATTCCGTCAGATAAATACTAGAATGTTTTGTACTGAGTGGTTTTTGGACGCATTTTCTGATTTCTGCAGTTATAAAGGAGTTATAGTTCTGTAACCTACATACTGTTTCATTAAGTATTTGGGTTAAATGCGTGTTGGATAGTTGAGTCTCCAGATGACGTACACAAGGCAGTTATACTGTCTGACTAAAAGCACTTTTTAAAACCTGTTTTAGGACTAATTGATCTCTGAATAACAGTGTTTTCTTTTTGGGCAAAAAAAGGTTGAATGTTCAAGGAAAGAAAGCTGCCCTGATAAAATCCTCAATTTCGGAGTTTGATGGCCCTCTTACCAACAGCTCCAGCAGCCATGACCAGACGAGAGAGATTGAAGTAGATGGTGAGATGGAGGAGTACCTGGCTTATGATAGCAGAGACCTGTGAGTAGCTCACATTTATAAATACTTGTCGATTCCAGCTGGACCGATGTTAATTCTGGTTGTGATTTGTGTCTCTAAAAGGAATGAGGAGAGCTATGAGGAAAGTCTGGAGTCGGTGCAGAGGCATCACCGTCTGCCCCCCGTCTCACCGTACCGCTGTCGGCGTCAGGCTGTTCTTGACTTGCTTTTCGATGATGTCTGGCAGGAGCTGGTCGGTTGGATGAAAGAGTTGGTTCAACGTCACTGGGAGTGCTGCACCTCCAGTAATACAGAATTTATCTGCTTTGCACACATTAAGCTAGGCTATTTTGAAAACGGTTCATTAAACCTAAATAAAAATTCCTTCCTTACTTCCTTCATGAATTAATGAATGAATGAATGAATGAATGAAAAAACATCTGTAGTTACTTTAAATAATTATATATATTAATATTGGAGAGGAGATTGGAATGTTTTTGTCTAATTAACAGGTGAAGAGACGATTTCTGGGAAACTGAGCCCTTTCCACCCAGAGATTGAGAATCCTTTTATGCTGCCTCCCATGCTTCCAAAACTCGGTCAAAGTCGGGTGCCGCCGCTCGCAGCTGGACCACAGCTCCAGGTCAGTGGTTTAAGGGGGACTAGACAAGAGACTGCTTATGGGGGAAAAAATGAAATTTGGGATTTCATTGAATAAATATCAGTCTTTGTAGATCAGATAATTTATTCTGAGCTTTCTTTTCTTTTAACATCCCATAAAAACCTTTTTCATTAGTGACTGATCTCAGCCTATCTCATGAAAACTAATTGACAATATAAGAAAATGACTATAACTCCAGATAACGATGTGTTAAAGCTTTCCCTTATCGAAGAGGCATAATATTACACAGATTAGTTAGTCCATTCTATAATTTGACCGAATTTATTGAGGAGGGACATAAAATCCTAGTCATAAAATACGTTTTTTTATGTATTAAAATCACCTTTGCTTACTCAAAATCATCAAATGTATGTCACTGACGCTTTTTAGATGTTCTATATTTTTTTAGGTCACTCAGAGTTTTTGCTTTTGATTATTAATCTATGACTTCCTTTCTCATGAGGTTATAAATTTGACAGGGCACAGAGACCTATTTCTCTCTGGCTCATTACATTTAAACATTTGCCCCAGTTTATGTAATGAGCATAAGAATGGTAAGATATTTAAGGGGCTGCATGAAAGTATCATAGCACTCATTGGAGATGTTATATGCAAACAGGCATGTAACAAGCTCTCCTGGAACTTTTCACTTTAACCATCAGGTGGGAATAAGATGATGTTTTATTGCCACAAACACTCCGATTGGTTCCTTTGTGGTGAAGAACTTTTTGACCCCTGTTGATTGGTGGAGGATCTAAGATGCTGTCTCTTATTACTGCTCCCTGGGCACCGCACAATGGCAGCCCAGTTTGTACACTTTGTGAGACTTTAACGGTATTTTTACTAACTGTTTGAAATCTCAGACGCCGAGTTAAAATCTGTCCAGGAAACAGAATATGACCCGTCACAGAGTCCATAAGCAGGATAATAAACCAGTTATTTAGATGAAGAGAGGAAAGAAGCAGCCGCCCCTGGATGATCCAGAAAGATTTTCCAAAGGGACAAAGATAATTGAAAATACCAGGTGCCCTTTTTTTTTATTTTAAGGTGGATTCTTACACAGTAAAATTTATTGGTTTTACCAAAATATTTGACCATGAGTATCTTTAATTCCCTACTTAATAAATTAAATTAAATGCTTGTTTTTTGACAAATTTTCTGTTAAAGATTATGATCATAAAACCTTATTTAAACATTTTTGTCAGAGTTTTCCAGTTAGTGTGGATAGTTCAGTATTTGAGGCTTTTCATTCCTGCCTGTAACTTTTCACCTCCAACTGTCTCCATCCCTTCTCATTCTACCTTATATTTGAAATGTTTTTTTTGAACCTGCTGTTTTTGTATATTTTGCTTTTCTTAAATTTTTATGACTCTACTTTTCTGTCCTCTCTACTTTCCCGTCCCTCTTTCCCTCTATCCTCTGTCTTTCTTTGGTCGTGGCTATCCCCTCTCCCTTTTCTAAATAACACAAAGTCAAGCGGCTCAAAGAACAATTCCAGGTGGAAATCCAAAAAGCAGAAAAGGCCTTCCGCTGTATGTAACTCTCCTGCTTAAAGCATCAAGCCATCTGTAGAGGCTCATTATTCTGAATATCTGTGCTCGTTCCTGTTGATTAACACTCAAGCATCCCATTTGACTGTGTTTAATCATCTTCAAAACATTGCAGAGATGCAAAGCTTGTTTTATTTAGTTTTTATTTTGAATAATGTTTCTCTCTAGTTACCTATAACAAGATCAGAGGGTTTTATTCTAATTGGGACCTTAGCTGTATGATTGCTGATTCATTTTTTTGTATTTTGAAATAACTAACCACATTCCTCCAGGGAATCCTTTCTTTTTGTCTCCTCTTCACTAGCTGTTCTTTACTCTGGTTTCAAAAAATGTTGTTTGATCCATCTATCATGTTTTTTCCTCTCACTCCTCTTCTTCCACCTTCAGGCTGGTAGAGCGCCTGTAGGGGTGGCATCAGCGCAGCACAACCTGAACGACCTCATCGTGATTCACAGCATTCCCCTGCAGCAGAGAAACTTGGCTGTGCTGGAGAGAAGCCAGTATGGAAACATTTTACCATTCTTACCATCAGATTTTGGCAAAAGAAAAGATGCAAAGCCTTGATCAGATACTGTTTTGTTTGTGGCTTAAAACACCCGGCGCTGAACCAATCAGCAGCTCTGCATCTTTCTCTGTCTCCATGCAGGGAGCCGAACGAGCGTGCATCTCACAGGCCCGTCTCTAGCGCTGTCCCTTCCAGTAAACCTCGTCCTCGTAGGGCCCTGGTGCAGAGCTCCTCCTCGCTGTCTCGTCCACTGCAATCAGCTCACTGCCGAAACCCTCCTCCCCGAAACCTACTGCCCCTTGTTCCTAACTCAAGTCACTCTGGCACAGGGGGACACCTGGATGAGGTTATCCGCGGGACACGTCTGTGAGTTAGACATGGCATTAACCCTACTAAAGCCTTTTCCTTCTTGTATATCTTGGTAAACATGACAACTAGAGTTATTGCAGTAGATCATCTCAACCTTTGAGAATTTGACCCAAACTTTGGTTTAAACTAACTTGGATCCATTTGCCAAATGATAATCCATGAACCAAGTACTTTTCATCAGAAGGGGTTAAAACATTTCATACTTTAAAGTTAGATGCAGTCAAATAAAAGTTAAACTGTAAGGTGACAAATTAAAAAACGAATAAATTGTTTGCTTCTGAAAGCGATCCACTTTCTCTCCATCAGAACCACAGTCAGTGACCGACTGACATCTCCACTGCTGCCCTTGAGCCGCAACACCCCCCTTCCCCCCATTGGAACCGGAGATTCTGAGTCGTCTCATGGAGGAGTGCAGTCAAAGCTCACACAGGTATAGATTACCACCAGAACCAGTATGGCTGGTATCAGTTACCCTAAAACAGTCATTTACCGTATGCTGCTTCAAAACTATTCCTACCCTTTTATGCATTTTGTCGTCTCACTGGATAAAAACTTGTTTTATCAGGATTTTAGACCATTTTACATTTCTGCATAACTTCTTGATGGTGATTTGTGTGGGCTGCAATAACATTTGCAATCATTTTGGGTTATATCTGTAATCTTCTCACAGCCCAGAGACAGTAGGATCAAATGTAGAGCATCTTTTAACAGCAAATTTCAAGTCCTGATCCAAACTATATAATAGCAGCCCTGGCTGGCTGTCTAACTTCATTTTCCTGATGCTGATGCGTTTCGTATATTTGACCAGGCTCTCTGTCCCTGGTGGACAAATACCCCCACAGCATGATGCTGGCTTTCTTCTCATTACTGTTTCAGAAAAGCTCAATTTGTGGTCAATCTTCTCCGTGCCAAGCCTGTCAAACATAACAGTTCTGTCCAACTCTTTATGTTGAGACAATGGTTTACATAGAGTCTGGGATATGTTTAAAGCCTTAAATATTATTTTATAACTTAACCCAGCTATGAACTTCTCTACAGCGTTTTCCCTTATCTCAGAATCAGACATACTTTAATAATCCCAGATGCACTTTCGTTTGGTTTTGATTTTGTATTGTCTTTATGTTTTTTGTTCACATAAAAAAAGAGGACAAATGTGTATTGTCACATAATAATCCCAGAGGGAAATTACGTAATTACTTATCTGTCTGCACTTTGTTCGCTAAGGTTCTCAAAGCAAACTTTGGAGGCCCTTTACCATCAGTTATATGCATACTGAGAATCAAACACAGACTGTATTCAGTAATCAGAAAAAACTGTTTGCACATCATTTTATTTAGGGATACCAGAATAAAGGGGGCTGAATACGTTTCAGAAGATCATTTATAAATAAAGAAATTTACCAAATATTGTTTCACATAAAAATTGTGATGAAATGCACCAAAGCTTATAGCATTGATGTCACACAAAAAGCTGTTTCTTCTTATTTCTGTCTCACAGCGTCATAAAGGCCCTCCTAGTCGTGCCAACAGTGCTTTTCACGATGAAGCTCGCAGCTCCATACCGAGAGATCGTCACCACATACAGGACGTCCTCTCTCGACCCAGCACAACTCGCACATACAGGGTGAGTTTTTTTAGCGTTCCTCATAGAATGAAACAGGATTGTTTTAATATGATTTATAGCTTTCATTGTGTGTTTGCATGTTTTAATATCAGTCTGCTGTGATTTTGTGTTTTAGTCCGACACTCCTTACCGTAGTTCCTTCACTGTGCTGGACAACATCGGGCAGGGCCGGCCGGGCAGAGCCTCTGTAGCCACAGGTCAGAAACTCCACCTGGAGGAAAAGAAAACTTTGAATTTATTGGTGTCTATGCACTTTTCCCTCACTGTGCTGAACAACCAAATGTGGAGCTGCAAAATGAGTCAGGGCCAGTCCGTGTTGTGTGAACATTTACTAAAGTAAATGGTCTCTGTTTCTGGTGCACTTTTTTCACACACGTTTTTTCCTTCCTATCAAAATGTAACCATATGCTTGGATGCAGCCCTCTATAAAGAGCTAGTGTCTTTAGATTATTAACAACGGTCTGAAAACTAGTGTCAGTCTTTCCCATGCTTGTGTTGACCAGAACAAACGCCACGATGTTGGAACATTTCTTTTATTTGGTCGTATGTAATATTTCTAGGTTCTGAGAGTGAATTTTGGGGGGTTGCTTAGCTGTAAGTCACTTATTGTAGGTCAATTATACAAAATGAAAAACACATACATTTTTAACTATAAATAGCATTACCCTGAGGTTGATATTTTTTATTTTTGCTTTTAACCCTCAGCCCTTGTTGGAGCTTGATTTATCCTGGATTAATTTTTTTTTCGTCTTGTAGTTACTGACTTATGTATTTATTTATTCCTTCTTATCAACAGACTCTCTGGGAATTGGTGTGACTGGTATCAGTCTTGGAATCAGCAGCTCATCTTTTTTGGATTCCTTTCCTCACCACCCGCTGGGGCAGTCGCCCATAAAAGACGAAGAAGAGCCCGAGTCTCAGGCCCCTGTCACATGTCAGTAAAATAACTTGGCTGGATTTCAGTTTAATTATTCCAGACAGTTGCTAGTAAATTTTATGAGCAGCATAATGGTTAAGGTTTGCCAGCAACTAATTTTATTGTTATATATCTCTCCTCTCCAGCAGCTGCTTCTGTTCCTTTGTCTATTCCACCCCGCTCCTATACCAGAGGCGGCCTCTCATCCAGATCCAGCAGGCCTGGCTTATAGTTTGCCACTGATCTCCACAACCTACCCGTTATCAATCTTTGCCTGCATTGTTTTGAAGTTTTTTTTTATTAATATATATATATGACTGAATTATATTTGAAGGCCTATTTTTGTACTTCAGAAATCACCTTATGGGCCTGCCAAACAGAAAAACTATCACTTTTTGTTTAGTATGGGTTGTATATGTGGCTATGCATGAGAAAAATGAGTATTTCTTTATGTGAAAATGCGGTATAACATGCCCAACTGTGTTGCTGTTAAGGGTGAATGACTATGCAGAATAAAAAGTTATAGGATGAAAAAAAAAAAGCACCTTTTCCGCCCTCTCTGATGTCAGGGAGCTTTGTACTGTATTACCTTCGAAACAAAAACAGAAAACCTGTTGGGTGCAAAATCCATAACCTGACAACAGCCAGATGCATGTCTAGCGCTAGACATGCATCTGGCTGTTGTCAGGTTACAAAATCCAACCATCTGTTGTAAAAACAGGGAGGATCTTTACCAACTAGGTGCTTCTGCTGAAATCATCCTACAATGTAGGAATCATACAGAATATGTGTAAATAAGAAATTATTCATGTCTGTACAAAATGGTGTATTTAATGTCATCTTTTGCTCTTTATTTGAGCAAAGCCAACTGGTCGTACTCTGACAAGTCACATCAGGGTTAGTGCATAAATAGTAGTTTCTTTACTTATTTCTTACAAGGGATAATAAGAAATAACATACAATTGCCTGTGTTTTACAAACTTAAATACAAATGATTTAAACAATTGCATTTATTTATAGAAACTTTACAGCACGTTACAAGAATTAACAACACTTACATATTTGTGTTACATTGGGAACTAGGAGGCAGAAACAGTTTTAGTTATCCTGAATACATTTATGATTTTATATGAACTACAAAAAAAAAAAAAAATACTTAATTTATTTAGCTTTTTCTAACATTTACTTTTTGGCTTTTTTTCCTTTTTGTGGTTTGGTGCTTTGTTTGGAGTACTTTGCTTCCAGATCTGAGAGGAAACTGTTAAAATTCTTCTCTCTGGACTGCTGCTTTTGCTGCAAAAGAAGGAAGAGATAAAAGTAAGACGTAATTAGGAGAAAGCGTTGCGTTAGTCCCTATGTGTAAGGAGGTAATACCTTTAGCATCATGACAAGACTCTCATCCTCATCATTAAGGCCCATCTCTTTCTTCATTTCCTCTGCTTCTTGTTGCTCCTGGTCAGCCTGAAAGATCAGTTCCAAGCACACTGTTAGTAAAGATACACAGGTTTACCTGTTTATGTGCAGTCGTTGCATGATACCAGAAAGAGGTATGTATTAGAACTTTTTTTTCTATTGTTTACCAGAAAACTTTGGCCATAAAAAAAAAAATCACAATGGAAAAACCAATAAAACAATACCTAAGCTTGAGGATCTTTTTCATTTTATTGCATATTTTTATTTTTTACTTCTGTATAGTTCTCACCCTTTTCCTGCGAGCCCTCTTCTTTGCTTTACTTTCCTTGGTGAAAGCAGGGAAGGCCTCCACTTGTCCACTCTTGATAGCTTCCTGGATGATGCTGCACAGCCTGGGCTCGTCTTCCTGAGAGCTGCAGAGAACCGAAGCAGTGATGGCGTCCATGTCCCCCTCATGTTGCATGTAGAGCCGGATGACATCCTCACGCTCTTCATCAGAGCCCTTGTATTTCTTCTCAAACTCAAGAATATCCTGCACCGTGATCTAGGAAAGAGATAAAAACAGTAGCAAGGTCTCTAGTATTCACATTTTGCATCGATGCAGGGCATCAGTCTTGGAAGAGGACAGAGTATTACATGACTTTTATGATTTTGGCTGCAAAAGTTGTTAAGACAAGCTCAAAAACTAATTTTACTATTGTGAAAATTGTTAAGAAAATGTAACAGAAAGATTTGTATGAGGTTAAGCCTGCGATTTTAATCAGAGATAAACATACTTAAAGTCCATAGAATTTATAGCAAAACCAAAGTAGTAAAACTAAATATTTTTTTGTGAAACAACAAAAACTGATTAAAAACTAAATGGATCCTTTAGGAGATGAGAACCAGCAACCCTTGATGCACAGATTTGGTTTGACGCTACGTTCACACCGCAAGCTATTGAAACAGCTGGTTAAAACCCCTGTCTGTTATATAGACAAAGCCTTGTATCGCTTGGATAACCATTTGCATGTTTCCAAGCGATACAAGGCCTTGTCTATATAAGACTCAAACTCACTGCGGATCCAGACATTTGAATTGAGAAAGCTTCCTGGAGAGGTGGCGAAACGTCTTCAAGTCTTGGAAACCAAGTCCAGTGGAATTTTTTTACGGAATTATTACCTTAGGGAACAGCAGCCTCCAGTACTCCTCCCAGCAGCGATCCTGACTGAGAACATCCGACTCTTCATCCACCACCCCCTGCTCATCATAGATTGCCCTCTGCTCCTTATCACTCAGCACCGCATAGAGCTTCCCCAATACCTGGAGTCAAAATTTAATCATGTGTCATTTTAGCCATTAAACATGAATTACATTTGCCCAAATTAATACTCTGTAAAAACCAAACAAACGTGCATGTACTGCTGCATTGAAAAACTGTGATCGCTATGACGAGGTTTTCCTTATTACCACTGGTTAGCAGCAGTTAGCTAGATTAGCTCCTAGCTTGCGCCGGTTGGACAGCTGACAATAAAAAAAGCGAACCTGAAACTTTTCAGTGGCTCGCGGGTCTTCTGGTGCCCTGTCTGGATGGACCTTCAGAGAAACTTTGTAGTAGCTCTTTCGTATGTCTGCTTCACTCGCTTCTTTGTTTACACCCAGTACCTCGTACAGGTTGGAGGTGTTGAACAGCTCCTGGCAGCGCTCGAGCAAACCCATCGTGAGTTTCTGTTTTAAGAGTCAGTAAGATCCGGTTATTGGCGACTTTAGTCGATTATTTTAACGATTTCAAGTAACCGGTCCCTTTTCTCTAAGCACCTCAAGCTCTAAACAGCAATTTGGCGCCCTGGCCTGTCATGTACTTCCGTACGTGAAAAGACGTGCTTACGTAATGCTGTAGGCATTCTTTGATTGGTTCTGACAGCATAATTCGTTATATAAATTATTTTATTTGTACTAAACCGCTATACATCAATACTTAATAAATAAATTAACTGAATAATAAAGCAATATCATTAATATGATACATAATTATAAATATTCAAAAAAATATACGATAGACAGACAGACAGAAAGACAGATACATTTTAAGAAAACGGGCCCACATGATATGGCAGGCTATTTTGACATTTATTACAAGCGTTGTCCTCTCTATTGTTCCATTCGTTGATCTCTAAAATAAGATTCTTCCCTGTCAAAACTACATTCCTACTAGTAAGAAATGTACAGATAGATATCTTACAATTCTGACTAGGAAGAAATGCATTTGAGACATCTGGAATATTCAGCCCAGCTAATAAATGTCATTTTAGCCTGGCATACTGGGCATAACTTGATCAGAATCAGTTATGAATCAGTGGGCCTGATAAGATTGAACATTTGTTTTTTTTGTATATATATGTAATTGCATCTTCCAACAAAACCTAACTAGATAAATGTTTGGTCTTATTCTCCTGTGACCAAAATTTAGCTTTAAAGAAAAATGTAAACACAGTAAAACATTATTGTTTTACTCGAAGAATAAATAGTAAGAAAATTAAACTTTTACTTTTGTGAAAATGCTAAGATATATTTTTATCTTGATGATTTTTATGCATTTTAAAAGTACTGTCTAGCTGTCAATACCTTTTAATACAAGATTGTAAATACATAAGAAAAACAGAGTACGTTTAATTAGAAGAGATGAAGCAGTGTAGCGATGGTAAAACATTTCTGGAAACCAATTTTGCATTGTACATTTTATTAATATAAATATATATATATATATATATATATATATATATAAATTATCAAAAATGCCTTTTTCTGTGTGCCCCATCTTAGTGAAACACTGAATTTTTATAGAAAAATTATTGTCCTGTTGATTTAGTCGGGCTGTTCATAGCATTAGTAACAGAAATACAAATAGTTCTGCCAGCAATTTTTTTTCAAAAATATGATTTTCCCTAAAACCATAAAATATGCCCAAATTAAAGAGTAGATTTAAATGAGACTATCCAACACCAATATAAAATTAATTTATTTGAAGGCTTTTGGAACATTTATCAGGGCTGACAAAAAACACATCTGGGACTGTAAACTTACCGTACCATCAAACAGAGTATTTAGATGTTACGTCTCTTTTACAGCAAATTTCTTCTGACCAATTAAAATCATTGAAGGTCGGAAAGGAGTAGGTTAAAGTTAAAACCTAACATAAACTACTCAATGACAGATTCCAGTTCATGGGGCATATACACAATAATCCATCACTCCAGATTATACAGATACCTTAGTATTTATTGATGACTTTGAAGCAGCACAAGAATACATCAAAGACAATGAGGCAAGTCACTAGAAATTTCACACTGCTTCATGCAAAAGCAGAACAAAAAGACAAATACAGACTTTGAATTTAGCATCTTCAGATCGTTTCCACCTGTTTTATTAGCCTGTAAAATATGCAGCTCTGAATATACATGCTGCAAATCCCTCCGTCTCTGATCTCCTCTCCTTGTTGCCCCATCTGTTTAGGTGCAAATTTGGCACAGTCTTCTTTGTTGTTTTAATAATTACTTCTGTCGTCACAAACCCGCCTCTTGTTTACACAGATACTTTTTTATTAAAAAGCACTCAGACAGCTGGCTTGTCACTATGATGGTCAACGATGAGGAACTAAATGAAAAGAGCACAAAAGTTGTTTTGTAAAATTTTATGCACTTTTGCTGGTGTGTACATCCTTCCCAAATCCTTGTCGTCCACTCGTTCTGATAAAGTAGGGTTTGAATTTGACCACAGTTTTTTCAAGAGAACATTTTATTTTCTTTTTTTTTACCCAAAAATGTCTCTTGACAACAGTCAAATGGCTTTGAGCTCTTGGTCTGTCTTTACAGCATACCCGGGGTTGATGCACTTTCCCATAATAGGGACAACTTGTAAGCCACCTCTAGGGGGCAGCATCTCAACATTCCTTTCTGGTCTTCACCATCTTGCTGGCATATTTGATAGGGATCCCCCAGCGTCTCATTAGATAGACATCAAACACATAGGCCATTCCTGGCTCCAGGCCCCCGATCACAGCTGTGGTTACGGCCCGTCGAGGATTCAGCTCTTGGAAATACTTGCAGAGAACCCTTTCAGTGTCAGAGCGAGACTCTGGGCCCAGACAAGGAGCAGTCAGAGCGGATGCTCCCCCCGCCTCTTCATTAAAGTTACTGAGCTTTCTGCGATACACACAGTATAAGCTTCTCTCCTCTGTTCCCATCCAGGCCAGGGTGACGCTGTTGCAGCCACGCAGCCGATTGAAAGATTTTATCTGCAAGGTGGAGGGCAGAGATGGCACCCCTCTGCGGTGGTAGGCAGATGAAACCTGCATTTTAACTGAAGCTTTTAAACCTCCTAATTGAACGGCGTCTGTAACTTTAGTTACCTGGCTAGTGGTTGTTTCGTCTTGTTGCAAGAGAATAAGATAGGAAGGACTTCCTTGGAGCCAAATGTGGATTAAATCTGCACCCACCTTCTGAGAGGTCAACACCTGTCCCTTGCTAGAGACAGTTACTGTTATCTTTTCACCTCCACCACAGCTTTGCAAGGTGAGGAGGCCACTTTGCTGCCACCCTCGAGGGCGGAAACTGAAGAACTGCTGCCAATTTGAGCCTCTGTCCTGAAAGGTCACCCACCTCAGCTCTCCTTCTCTTAGTGGTACGACTGCAGCCCGTGCTTCCTCATGTGTCCGCGCAGATGTCCCCTTGTATGCTGCACTGGTCCCATTCACCTTATCTATCACAAAAACATCAAAGTAATATGAGGTGTCAGGCAGGAGCTCGGAGACGGTGCAAACGTTTTCTGTCCCCTGACATGCACACTGGAGATCATCCAAATCATCTGTAAGTGTGGATGGCAGAGTCTGGGATTCAGGATAACTGTCCCTCTCCTCCCACCACAGCTCTTTTAAGACTGGCCATGATGTCACTTGTCCCTTTTTCCCTTCCTTGCCTCGATTCGGATTTTCTTCTATTTTCTTCCTCTCATTTACTGCACAGAGGCTGGGGTAGTTTTGCAGAGAGTTTGTGAGAACACAGTATTCAAAACTGTTTTTTGCTTTTGGGAGGCTTTTTATGGAGGCACTCGGTGCCCAGCTGAGGGTTACGCTGGTCATACCAACACCTAATGTGTGAACTCGCGGGTCAGCTGGCAGTAGAGGAAAGATGCCTAAGGGCCCTGGGCCTTCATGGAGAAACACTGTAGCTTTAGTGGTTTGCTGCTTTGAGCGCAGCCTCAGTATATAGACAGAGGCGCGGGGATGGGAAGGGCCACTGTAGGTGTCTGCTGTATCACCGCTGAAGCTGTGGATTTTCACTTCTGTTCCAGGACCTCGCCACCAAATTTCAGGCATGCTTTTCTTGGTGCTCCCTAAAAGGAAAGAAAACCAGTATTTAGTTCTGTATTAATGTCTAACTCATGTCAAAATATATATTTTGCTTGTTTAAAACCCATTTGCAGACCGTGTTAACAGTTCACGTAAAAAACAAATAATTAAGACAAGTGAGAATTTTATGGAATCAAAACATGACATTAATTAGCTTAAGTTGCACAGCAGTATATCGCAGTGGGGATAGTATGTTCAGGTTAATGTGCAGTGTTTTGCAAGTAGAAGAAAACCCATCAAATATAGTCATATCTCAGTAGAACGCCTTATTCTAAATATTTGATGTTGCATGCATAGTTTAAGACTGCAGGTATGAGTTTTAATGGATTTGTTTGAACAACAGCTTTATTCTTGCTTCTTTCTGTGTAAAGGCCAGATCTGTGCAGTGCAACATTAATAGCTGCCTGATCAAAACATTCTCCCACCTGAACTGTGGGTGTCAAGGTGCACCTCCAAGATAACCATACTTGCTTAATTGCTCTTTATTTTTTTAGATCTGTGAGGGTAAATTAGTTGAATACAAATACAGGGAATCCTTTTTAAACTTTTCCTTGAAAATGTGGAAACATGTAATTTTTCCTGACACTTTATTGAGCTACACTGTTCACATCTTTCATAGAAACCTCAAAAGAATTTCTTATTGCACAGACGGTGGCCCAGAAGACTCAACAAAATACAAAAGCTACAGTACAAAAAAGCAATACAATTAAAAATGCAAAGACAAATAGCGATACAACTTCTAACGCAACAATCTCTGCATTTTTTTAACTACAATATATTGCTTTTGCCATAATCCACAATGTCCTTCAAGAAAGCCCTGCAGCACATTCTTATTTTAGGCTTTACCAGCTTTGTCTTTTGTCTTTATCTAACCACTACCTCAAAGTTATACCCATTGGTATGCATTTCTTGCAAACCTGTGGTGCCATTTCCCTTGAATCTCTTTTCATTTCATACATAAAAACAAGCCGCTTCATACTTGTTCTTTTTCTGCTCTAAACATTAAATATTGTTTTAAAGTTGTCAATTTCTTTTACAACAGGATATACTGGAGGTAGATTAGGAATTGGCTATTTTTGCCATTATACCAAGAATTACGATTTATTATAGTAATGATAAACTCTATGCCAATCCTTAAATGAAAAGTGTAGTGGATATTGTCAAAATTACCATTTACATACTGTCTTTCTTTCCTTAAGAGCATCAAGTATTGCTTTCAATATGTATTGTTTTTATTTTATAAATATTATACAGATTTTTTATATTTATACCTCCCATCTCTAAGTTGGATTAAAGGAAATACCTAAAATAATTTATTTCTATAAAACTGGAAAATAATCTTAAAGATACTAGAATTTGACACATGGTCAGATAGCTTGTTTAGTAACTTAATTTTTTTTTTTAAATTTAAACTGCAGAAATACAAGGTTGTGAATGAGCAAAATGACCACTAAATAAATTGTTATGTAATGCATCTCACTGAGAAACTGATCTAGAAACTAGTTTTAGTATTTTCTTAGATGTCTGCAAAAGTTCAAAAATGCAAAGGGCTAAATGAAAAGCACCAGCAGACATCACTCAACTCATATCTTTGTGTAAAGGTAAGAAACGGCAATCCTTGAAATTGTGTATTGGATCTAAAGTAAGGAAGCTAAAGCTCCTATACATAATAATATAGCTATCGGATAATTCACCTTTTTTTTTTAATAAAGTCAAACTTTTGCTTTTCTTTTAATACAAGGAAATTTAAAAACTCTAACCTTGATGATCGAGTAATCATATAAAGAAAGTCACATTGCATCCATCTATATCAATTCAATATTTAAACAAACATTTTCAATTAACTTTGAACAGGTAATTTACTCCATGTGTCAGGATTTGGTTGTGGTTTGTGGACACAAATGTAGAGGCTGGGAAGCAGAGGTGAGTTTCTTGATGATTTAATGAACAGTTTAGAGACAACTGAGGCAGGAATCCAAAAAATCCAAAAATTAAACGTGAAAAAAAGTCAAACAAACCAGAAACCATGGAAACATCAGGGGAAAAACAATCACGATGAGGAAGACTCAGAGAGACGGAGTTGGAGGAAGTTAGACGGGGAACCAGCACTGAGGAACTGCACAAGGAGTGTATTTATGGGAGAATGAACAAAGAGAGGACTAACGAGCAGACGGGGAGCAGGTGTGAACATAGCAGACTGGAAAGGAGCTAGGGAACAAGGAGAACACAAGAGGGCAGCAGAGGGCAACAAATAAAAACCTGAAAACTGAAAAATAACCAGAGAAGACACCAAAATAAGAATTAAACCACTAAAACTAGAATACATGAAGCAAAGTAAAACTGAATACTCAAAAGAAAAACATAACAGAAGAGTTGTTTGTGTATGAATTTGAGGTAAAGACTTTACTAGGGATGCACAATATTGGGATTTTGGCCAATATCTGATATGTCGATATTTTAAAACTCATGTAGCCGATAACCGATATCGATACCAATGTTAAAGCTGGACAAAAATAAGTAGTCATTGAAAATAGCAGTTTTGTTATCCATTTCTGACACTTTGAAAAATAATATAGTCAAATATATTTTCATATGCTGATATCAAATTGATTTTTAAAAACGCGATATCGATCTATTTTACTTTCAAAATCTCGTGAAACTTCATCGTTCTGTTACAAACTCTCGTGATATTTTGCAAATTCTTGTGAGATTTTGTTAGTAAAATCGATCGATACCGCGTCAATATATGAACATATAAAAATATGGCAAAATTTCGTGAATTTTCGGGGTACATATAGCAATATTTCATTAGTAAAAGAGATTGATATGGTGTTTTTAAATGGCAATATATCAGCATATGAAGTTATTGTGATATTTTAATGTATCAATATTTTTTCCCTCGTCTTTAGAAGTTTTTAAGTCTGTAAAAAAGAAGTTTTTGAGGAAGAAGAAGAAGTAGTATTATTATTTTTTTTAGACTTTAGAAACTCAGAAGCTGATCAAATATCGAGTTAAATATCGGTGGGGTGGCCGATATCCGATAGTCAGTTTTAAGGCCGATACAGGCCGATACCGATAGGGGGCCGATTATATCGTGCATCCCTAGACTTTACCTTAAAATTGGACATAATTCACAGCCTATCATGCAAGGTCAGGCTTTTGCATACTTCTATATCATGATGACAAACAATATGCTCGTTTGTTGCTGTGTCATTGCCTGTAAAAGCATATTTCATTGGTGATACACTCAAACTTAGGTTTTTAAAGATTATCTAGTTATAGCAGCAGCTGCACACTAAAAAGAGCTGTGCATATATGAGCACAGGCTTAACCACAATCTCCCAGAAAAAAAAACAACAACAACTTTTTAACCCAGATATGGTAAAAGCTCCTCTGCACCTAATTAATTTACTGAAAGATGACATTTCAAATACCACTTCAATAGATTCTCTTTCATTCAGACAAGTGTTTTTGTTTCGGTCTATGCACGCTCTTCATTTAAACAATGCAATAGATGAAAAGACAAACAAACAGAAAAAAGCTAAAAACACCACTTGTTTTTTTCAGTTAATGTCTCCTGGAGCTGAAATATCCTTCCTCAGTTGAGACTAAATGTTACAGAATCAAAGTGAATAATTCAGGATAGAGAGATGGAGACCCACAAGCTCACAGTCTGAATGATTTATGTGTCATTTTAGAACTTCATAATGCCATTTTTACATGTGGAAAAGCTTGTTCAGGTAACCAGGAAAGAAGCACTTGGAAAACACAATGAAGCAGTCCCTCTTTTTATCCAAGAACCTTTCTGGTTAGTTCCAAAAGAAGATTTATTTTAGGTGTACCGTACTTTGAATTCTTTGATTGCAGATCGAATTTGATGTGGAATTCTGCTATATACTTTCCTTTGAGCTTATTTAACCAGTTTGCTTTGCAGAATCTTGCAGCAGTGTGAAACCCAGTGGTATTTCATTGCTCTAGAAGTGTAGGAATCTAAAAGATGTAAGCCGTTTTCACTGTTTCATGTTTTATGATACCTTAAAACTGCAAACCCAATACAACAAAGTGACACCCAGAATTGATGGTACACCCCCACCCTCTGTGAAAGAGTGGTTTAAAATATATACCATTACTCCTGTTTTCAGCAGGAACAAATGGCCAGGATGTACTGATAACACTCTAACTGGAAAGAGAAACCTTCATAGAGAATAATTTGAGGTCAGAACTACCCTAGCTTCTTCATAAAAAAAATATCTTGATACACTAGTAGCAGTAAACAAAACCGAGGATGTTAACGTTGGTAAATTATATACTTCTAATCGTTAATAATCTTCTCCATCCTAAAGTCACCTTTCCCATATGAACATAACTTCATATAGGATTAGCCGTGTTGTCCTTCAATAAACCCGAAAATGGTGATGATAACATCTAAATTGATCATCTCAGCTTAGTCAGGTTTAGTGATGCTCTTTAGGATATGGGAAGGGGCTGTTTTTGTACTCACATTGCAGGTTTTTGAGTGGTTTGTCTTTCAGGGTGCGGGCAGCCAGGCTCCATTCAATAGGAAGGTGACAGGGGCTCACGGTCACCCACATCACAGAGGTCTTCTTCTTCAGTGTGAAATATAACCTGCGATCAGACAGCAAAAGATACCCATGAGACCCGAGTTCATTCCTCACAGAAAGCATCAAAAGAGATAACATCTTCTTTCAGTTCAGCTGCAAAGACGAGATATTACCTGGTAAAGGCTGTGTGCAGCATTCCTTTACTTTCCTGAATGTTTTTTTTTTTTTTTTTTTTTTTAGATAGGTTAGGGTTTTTTTTTAATTCTTTGGTAATTAAAGAAAGCTTAACTTTATTTGCAAAAGTGTTCTACTTTATTGTTTTCCTTCTCCTTCATGCACAATAGTGATACCAAAAAGGGGGGTGTAGACTGATTATCATATAAAGCCATAAATATCCATTCCCACTGATGAATTCAACAGCAAATGAAACCAATTTTTTTTTTTTTGTTTATCCTTCTGGAACTTAAAAAAAAGGTGCTATACAATTTTCCTGCAGTTAGCTTTGCTTAATGAGAATCTATAACTGCATCAGTTATTCTTGATAAATATTTGTTCTCCATAAGTAGAAGCACAATTATTTATGATCTTGTACAGATGGTGCTTATTTCCAAACAGATGTGAGACAATGTCATTTTCAAGGGCACTTAGTTGCCTATTTAACAGTGATTAACTTTCCGAATTAGAATTTCTCTCCATTATTTGCCTTGCAGTTCAGCATGACTGCTCGGGTGGACAGACGGCAGCACATGAGGAGACATCATTTTTAGATCATGGCTTTCCGAACGCAAAGCAGGGGCTCTTTTATGGATTGCTCAGACCAAATGAGCTACACCTCTGTGTGGTTTCTCTTCTTTTAAGGAGGATGGTTGTCGACATGTTTCTGAAAAGTACTTTCTAAAATAAAACAACACAGAAAAAAATGTGGAAAAATCCATTTGGTACAAAGCTTTTAGAATACTATAAAAAAAAAAAAGCAGACAGAATTATTTTGGAATAAGAAAATTCACCTCAAAGACATCATATGTGAAAAGTGTACACAATAAAGGGTACATTTAGGCAGGAAGGGTTACATTTGATAACTTGAAAAAACTGAAATTAAAAAAGAGAATTAAAACCATATATAAAAATGATCAATTAAAATGTGTAGAAAAAACGAAGAGCTTCAGTATGGCTTAGTTGCTTGACTTTTATACCATGGACTAAATGTTTATGGGCTTGAAGATAATATTCTGAAAAAAATTATTTTACGAACCCAAACTATTTCCCCTCTTTACATATTTGGTTAAGGTATTGCTTAATAAGGTCTGAATTTACAAAGATTTTTAGCAGACATTCAATAAAACTAATATATTATTTAAAAGTTCCTTTTCTTTGACAACTAGTTTGATAAGTGAAATAAACGGAATAGTTTTATCACAAAAAATTACATTTTCAAGCTTTTTATTTCTGTTGATTTTGATTATTTTAAGACAACATTTAAGATTGGAATATTACATTAGGCAAAAAAAAAAAAAAAAACAGCACATCTTTTTAAATACAAATGTGAGGCTGACCAAAATTAATAACAGCTTAAAAATAGTTTTATTCAAGAAGTACTTTAAACAACACTTGAACCTCAATGGAAGCATGGTCTAATTATTCATTAAATGTGATTCTAAGGTTATATTAGGTTTTGTAAACATTTCATTTATCTTTTTCTGGTTTTTGCTCTTTTTTTTTTACTAATGTTTTTTCCTTTATTTATCTTGTTATAAGAAAAACTAAAACTGATGTCCAAATGAGCGAGATTTGCTTGTTAGTAATAGATACAAATTTGGGTTTACAGGAGCCTTATTTTCAACATCATTCTTTTTAAAATAGATAAATCTGTTTAATCTATTCCAGAAGTGCTTGTTTGCATCTTAAGAAGCATGTTGTTATGTCCCACACTCATATTTTGTGTTTAACTGTAGGTGACTTCATAAAAAATTTGAAACTTCCTGTAAGAGCATCCTAATACTCTGAACTAAAAGTAAGCCAGATAGATGTTAAAGTTATTTCAAAGATGACCTGCTGAATTAATTGTCCCAAGCCCCAACTAGTTTCTGGCTTCAATTTGATTGAACACTTATCATTATGCAAGAGTCTAGTTTATGATTGATTTTATTATGTTGTCCTGTGTTTTTATATGTCTTACTGTACTGCTGCCTCTTGGCCAGGTCTCCCTCGAAAAAGAGATTTTATCTCAAGGGACTTCCTGGTAAAATAAAGGTTAAAAAAATAAAAAATAGGAAATGTTTGAAAATGTTGCAGTGGGATTTAAAAGCAATGTTAACAATGAGTAAAAGTATTTACCAGACTTTTATAGCTTTTTTTTTTTCCTTGAGACATAACAGCACATCTGTATAATTTGCCACAGTGACGTGTGCATCATGAAAGTTTAAGTCAACAAACATTGCTATCAACATACTGTATGCGGTAGCTGACCTATAGACCTTAATGATTTTATATGTTCAATTTTGTGATTCCACACTGCATTGACATGTTGTGGTTCAGACATTTTTGTGAGTTTATACATCTTGTCTTTTGATTTTCAAACATATTTTTCATGTGCAAAAGTCTTGCTTTTTTTTTTTGAGCTTTATTCTTAAGCAGTATTTTTGGTTTGTATCTAACTAAAGGGGATTAAGAAAATCTTGTCAAAGGTTGTACAAAATTTGCAAAACTTTATCATATATTCAAGATATTTTTGGCTTTAAAATGGTGGTTTGAAACACCAAAAAAGATTTGATCTCACTTTTATATAACATTTTCTAACAGAAGAGTCCTTTTTTTTTTATGTGCCAGAATGGACAATGGTCACTTTGGAAGGGGGTACATACGTGCAACTCAAGTTAAGCAAATTTTGTTCTGTTCTTCAAGCTTATTAAATACAATTTGTTTGCTGTTTAATGAACACATATTTTTGAATAATTGGTTCCACCTTGTGTTGAGGCACCTTTTCACCAGTGACAAAGGAAACTGGTCACAGTAGTGGCTTTTAAGGAAACTGGGGAGGATCTTATATAAACCTTTGGCATTCCTTTGCCTCAAACTAAAGATGAACAGTTTTTAATGTTAATGTTTGTTTATTGATTACTATTGATTTTGTAATTAAATTTCAGCAGGTTTCTTCCTGTTAAAAGTCCCCCCCTCCTCCGGTTGCTACTTGAATTCTTTTTATAAGTAATTGCTGCAAAGTAGATAACACAATAAAATGAACTGTCTACTGTCTCTGCATGCTTATCCAACTGGAGTTAATGCTGAAAGTCAGTGGCTTAATGCTGTCTGCTGGATTTAATTAGATGGAAAACTTTAAATCAACTATCTGTATGATGTGATAGAATTGACATTGTAAAGGGCTTTGAGATTAATTGTCTTGTAAGTATGTTCAATTAAAATGACCGTAACAGAATTGAAATCTAAATTAATCAATCATGTGTTGATATTAGATGAGCGCAGTGCAAGTACATAAAACTGCTGCGAAACAAAACCAGCTGCAAACATGTCAATCATGTCAACACACACAAAATACAGGCAAAAATTCATTTAAGTAAGAAAAACACCTGCAAGTTCAGAAAAGATGGAGGAACTCCTCCATCACCTCATACGGGGTATACAATTAGCACCAAAGGCCTTGCCTCTGGCCACCAGCATCAGTCAAGGCAGGTGAGGCACCCTGCCCAAGGACACATCAACACAGACAGAGAGAGCGGGGGCTTGGACCCTACTTTCTGAGCCACCATCACCCCTAATGTTACAGGACCTCAAACCTTTAATACACCTCAAGGATTTTTTTTGCTAGTTATGAAAATTTAGATTAGGATAACTAAGATAAGCAACTGCTTGAAAAATAAAATAATAGCAGATCAGATACAGGATAGAACCAGGTTGTTACCAGGATGTTACCCGGTGTTTCTGTGACTTGCCAAATATTGGCTATTTTGCAATAAGTGTTTTCAGCAATGTGTCAGATGCTGGTCTACTGATCTACTGTATACCAAAACCCCCACCTCCTCTGTGTCATTTTTGGCACTGAGCTCATAGCTGTGGATTGATTTAAATGTAAGTGCATTTCCTCTTAGATTTGCATTTTATTTTGTTACCTTCGAAGTCTCCCTTTAGGAAGAGTTACTGAGGTGATCTTTCCTTCTGGTAACCATGTAGTTGGGCGAAGTGGTACTTCATTCTCTGGTGCCAGTGCCGAATGAACCGGGGGCACCAAAGAACCCCAAACCAGCATCAAAGTTGCCCAGAGGCACAGGTGGGGTGCCATCATTGATTTCTGTCTATCCTCTTTGACCCTTTGTATTTTCTCACCGTCTGCGCTGTGCATATGTCTCCCAGGCTGTAAAAGTCTGCAACAGAAAGGTCAGGACTATCAATCAGATTCAATAGCCAACAAACACACATAGCAATGTTATTAGTTAAACTTCTACACTCATTTAGTCAGACTCTAAAGAGCTGCACTGGCTGATGATTCACTGATATGAAAAAAAACATCCCATCCTGTTCATACAGAATTATTCATGTTGGGGTTCAGAAATTGCTGGGTTTTATTACTCTGGGATATGTGTGTTGCACAGACTGGCACTTGCTGTAAAATATATATATATATATCTCCAACACTTCTCAAAGTGTGAAGTGGTTAATATTGCTCGAAGTTGATGCCTTTATAGCTCTACTTCTATTTTTAGTTTGTGGATTCAAATCAGATCTACTCTTTAAACATCTTTCAATATAGGCATTACAAGGGTTACGCGAACACCACCAGGGGGTGCTTTGTCTTTTTATGTTTTCTTTGTTTTTGCTCACTTTCTATCCGTCTATCAGCCTTATTTTCTATGTACTCTGACATATTAGTGTGTTGTTCAGTGATGGCAGATAATTGCAGGTCTCAGAGTATTTCCCTTTTCTCTAGAAAAGCACATTTGTTGAAAGTCACACAGTTTTCACAAAACAACCTCCCTGCCGTCACTTAACAAGGTGGATTATATCAGTGTTTTGCCCCCCGTAGATAAGAAGACAATCGCTGCGGAATCACGGAGGCAGCTACAGAAAGTACATCAGAGGCTTCTGGGCCCCGGGATGCTACCACATCCAAACTCACAAAACAGTCGCACAGCTACAAAGTCGCTCAGAACCGCCTGCTCATTATTTCACAGTAAGAAGGGAGTGAACGACCCATAAAGCTTTAACCGAGAGGGGGAAAGAGAGACTGAGAGGACGTGGAGGCTGAGAGAGGGAGGGATGTGGAAATGGAGAACAAGTAGAAGATGTAGTAATTAGAGGGAAGAAGACAGAGATGGCCAAAGTGGGGGAAAGTGACACTGTGAATCATACAATGTAATAGCAAGACAGTGTAGCAGTCATATGAAGCCCACTGGTGTTTACTTAACACCAATTTTGAATGTCCAGTGTGCAACACATCCTCAGATGGCTTCACAACCTTGCAGCCCCGCTCACACACTCCCCCTCATTCAATGTTGATACGGATGAAGATGCAGAAAAAGCCCATTTCTTCAAAACGCGCCTGCTGATGAAATATGCATACGTCTTCTCTGCAAATTATGGCCAAGTGAATTTTCATAAGGCTGAAAAAAAAAGGGAAAAAGTCTGGGTCTATTTGCTTTAAGAGAGGGAGCTTAGTGAACTTAACTACCGCCCTCTATAAATAAATACACACTCCACTTTAAACGCAGGCGCTCCTGATGGTGCTTTGATGGTCCTGCTCACTCACAGCTCAGCTCTTCTTTTTTTCCTCAGTTCCCCTCTCTCCATTATGTTTATCCCAGACTCTCGAATGACTGCTTTTATTCTGGATACTGTTTGGGTTTTAATTAACTCCCACTCTGCTCTGTTTGGCCCCCAGAACCAGTGGCACTTCTCTGTCTGCTTTTCCATCCTTCTTGTTTTGAAAGTTGATGCAGGCTCAGTTTCAGAGGGAAAGGTTTATCTGTCTGCACAATGTATTAGTGATCTTCTATCTTCCTGGACTCCACAGGGACCATATGCCTTGTGTTATCTTTGAGCAGGGACAGATTAAATGGCATGGGGTGGTCCCTGCAGGATCCGTTGTTCTCCCCCCAACACCACAACCTCAACAAACTACAACGGGCAAAGGGACTGGCCTCTGATTCACTGTGGGGGTTGAAGAAATGATGGCGAGGGAACAAGCAATTACTATGGAACTTGATAGGATTTCACGGCTGATTTTATACCTTCCTGCAAGCATGTTTGAATGAATTAATCCTGTTTCTCATTGTCCACGCAGTTTACAACTGCACATCTTGTCTTACTTTTACAAACTTTGCAAAGCATTTATAGATTTTTGATATTGTGCTTAGAGATTTTACAACCTTTAAATTACCTCACACTGGGAATCGTGCACATACATTGACCATTGCCAAATACTAAAAGTACCTTAAATCATGTTCAGTGTTTTTCCCAATCATCAAAAAAAAAAAAAAAAAAAAAAAAACACTACTTATTCAATGCAAAAAAAAGGCTGAGGGAGCCAAGTTCCTGAACAACTTATTAAGTGTAAATCAGTGGAAATGAGAAGCTGAGACACGTTCAGTGAGAACAATGTACATACATGCATGCATTCATCCCCCTTACCTTCTCTCAGCTCCCGCTCTTCCTCTGTGGTGCAGGGAGTGAGGGATGGGATCAAATGAGAGACGGAGCGAGGATAGAGGAGGAGGAAGAGAGGGGTGGGGATGAGAGCTGGTTGCGAGGAGAGGAGGAGCAACAGCAGGTTGCTGTCGGGGAAGTTCCACCGACTCCTTCTCCTGTGAGGCTCTTTTTCATCACTGTAGTTCAGAAGGTGTCTTTTCACAGCTCAGGTGTCCCTTCAGGGCCATCTCAGAAGCCCTTCTATCTCTCTCTCTCCTCATCTTCTCTTAGTCCTTCATTTATGGAGGCTCATCCTGCTAAACGCTGTGTGAATGTCACCCGGTCGGCAAGGCCTCCATCCTCTCTGCCTCTTCCCTCCCTCCTGTTGTTTTTCCACTTGTTCCCACCTCCTCCAGTTTGTGAACATGGCTCACTTGCAATTCAAATGGGCTTTATGTGCGACCATGTGTGTATTTGTGCTTCTGAAAATGTGTAATCTGAGAGCGAGGGAAAAAGTGCATGAATTTGTTGGGGCTGATGGGGAGATTGGTGATTAGGGGTCGGTGATGAGAAGAAATGGAGAGCAAATATTGTCAGATCCAGCCTTAAGAAACATCAAGATGATGTGATGATGTGAACGCTAAGTGGCTTTTTGTTGACATTTATTGCCCTGCCAGTTTCTGACGACTCAATATTTTGTTTTTTTGTCCGACTGGGGAACTAAATAGGTGACAGGCGTGTTGAAATAATGCAACTGAACAGTGAAAATGAGAAACTGCAAAGACTCACTCTTAGGGGATACTTTGAAAAGTCATTAAACCCAAAATCTCTTATGGCAGAGGGATAACGTCTATTATTTAGAATATATTTTAGAATATATAGGATCCCACACATTTACAGGAAGAAGCTGTGAACTCCTCATAGAAAGGACTGGGATTAGACTTAGGCTCAACTTTATTTATCCCTTGCGATCACTCTTTCAGGGAAATTCTGGTTCCAGTAGTTTATATAGAGTACAGACAATATAAAAAGAGTGTATATAGTACAAAAGATATTATGATAAGAAAAGTTGTAATGTCCTGGAATATTTTTCCTTTAGATATAAAAATATTTGCACAGCAAAAAGCTAAGGAAAGACCACACAGTAGTTGACTTGGATTATTGCACTTGCACTGCAGTAATGTACTGAACATATAAATAAATAAATGAGTTAATAAATATAAATAAAAAATAAAATTAAGACTGAGGTCCTTCCTGCTGAAAAGTACAACTGTTAACAACTGCTCAATCACGATCTATTTATTTATTTCATAGGTGAAAAATAAAAGTCTAACTATGTATTTATTTTAGGTTAATCCGCTTATCCTAAAATGTATTCATGGATCTTCAAAAACCTGACAGATTTAGAATAAAATTGATTTACAATCAACCCAAGAAGTTATAGTTGTTGTCATAAAAAAATAACACTAGTGAAGTAAAGCAATGGTAAAAAACTTTAGATAAAACAGATAGTTTTATTCTACTTTCAAGAATTGCTATTTTCCTTAAAATCAAAATCAGAATTACTTAAATGATTTAATTGCTGACCAATATTTTGCACGTGTATTTTGACTAGATTAGCTTGGATTTCTTGATGCTTAAAGGCCTTGTTCCTATCACTCTAAACTTCAGTTCTATTTAGAGATTTCTCTTGATATAAATTAGGTAACAACAAAACATAGATGTTACCTCATGTTTCTCAAATAAAAATATTACTTTAAATCCAGATCTCTTGGGGGTAGGACTAAGCTAGGCTTTAAATATTGAAGCTTGATACCATCTGAGTCTTCTTTACAAACATTTTATGATGCATAAAGGCCCATTGTGTTTTAAATTGTGCTTTAAATAGACTGCAGCACCCACTCAAAGCTGAATGCCATCCAAGTCATTAAAACCCATAACTATATTTAAAGGAGGTGTTTAATCCTTTTGCTTCCAGCATTTTATTTTCAAGTGCATCTCTTTTCTGGATGTCTTGGTTCATACAGAAGAAAATGTAACTACATGTATGAATTTGATTTAGGTTTGATATTACTATTACTTATTGCATTTTCGATTATAAGAAATGTTTTTATTTTTTTTAACTACAAAACAAATGATTGGATTTGGAGGTGACAAAAGGCTATAAGAAGGTAATATTTGATAAGAGAAATATAACAAAATCTATCTTGCCTCTATTAATCCAGATTAGTTGATTTCAGACATTGAATTTTTTTGGCCCATCCGAGAGGGACAAAAAAAAAAGAAAGAAAAGCACAACTCTAAGCTCTTAAAAGAGCCTGCTTTGTATAAATACGATAAATATTTAGGGTATGCATACACTATTTTATAAACTTTTAAACTATCATGATCATGTTTGCACTAGTTGGGTGTATATGTAGACCACTGATTGCCACCGATGTCCATCATTAATGAGTCTTTCCTTGGAAAATAACAACCAAGCAGTGGTAAAATCAATAAAGCTATTTCCAATATTTGACAGGTTCTGTATAAATAACCAGTCAATCTCTCTGTGATGACAGTTACTTGGAAAATCACCACCTACTTAATCATTACCTAGGGCATTAAATACCTCACAGGAACCGAGACATTTGTTCTCTCTTTAAAGGGCTGTAAACTTGAAAGGACTGGTTATGCACATAATAAAACGCTATCTATGTGTGGTGTCTGATCTATAATTGGATAATTATTGTTGTTACATTTCATAGACACCATAAGGTTGTTTTTTTTATTCTTCTTGACACTTCAGTGATTAATGAAATTCAAAGCAACAATTGTTTGGAAAGTGTAATTACTTTCCGATTACGCTGAAATACTATTTCAATATTTGTATTTGTTGGACCCAATTTTCTATACATAAATTTAAGCAGTCTCAGTAAGTTAAGCAAATCAGTCTACTTTCAGAAATGCCTCCTAAAGAAAATAAAAAAAACCCAACAATATAATCCGCAAAAGTCATTCGACTTGTCCTGTCCTAAATAGACTCCCCCCGACTCCCAATAAAGGCACTTAAGAGTTCCCTAGTTGTTGAACTTCCTGTTTCAGCTACTTATTTTGCTCTTTGCACAAACCCCAAGATGTTTACTGAGATACAACAAGAACTGTGAGGGTTAAAAAAGACAAATGTATTCAAATAATTATAGAAAAAGTGGGTCTGGCTAAAAGTTATTTGGGTTTTTTTCTGCCATGTTTTATATCTATGCTGATTATTCTATTTTTTGTTGCCTATTATTTCCCTCAATTTACATGTTCATTGTCTTTTTTTCCCCTGTTCAGTTAGAAATGCTGGTTATAGTACCGTAAAATGTAGTGGCCACCGTACTTAGACAGTTCTGGTTTCTATTTTTGGATTATCTTTTGGCAGTGCATATAGAATCTTATTCAGTCATGCCATTAAAAGCTAGAACATATTAAGGTTGACCATTTAAAAAAACAAAACAAAAAAGAGCAAAAATAATACAAACTTTTGTTAGTGGAGTATTTCAAGCTAAAGCTTAAAGTACAATGCCAAGCAAGCTTCTCATATTAGAACCATGCTAACATCATGAATATGTATTTCAATCGCATTTCATTGTTAAAATGACTGATAAGAAATTTCCCAATAACTTCTTTGGGGTAAATTAAATTGTTATGGATATAGTTCTCATCCAATACATCTTTTTCTTATTTAGCTGTGAATTGGAGAAAGATAATGAAACTCATGTAGGTAAATCAAAGTGATAAACTACTTTAATCTAATGTAGTGAACAAATAACCTTCAAGGAGAGACGTTAAAAGTCTGTGAACAGAGTAACTACATAGTAGACCTATAGCCCTCCACCCAGAAGGTCAAGTGCAAATCTTGAAGGACTTGAGACATACCTAACAGTGGCTCTCCAGCCCCACCCAGGCCTTTCATCTTCACACAGTTGTGGGCCTCATGCGTCCATCTCTTTCTGCTGAGCAGAAATACCATCAGGAAAAGAACTGTGAGCTAACTCCCCCTTTTTGCATTTTGTGATGGGTCCTTTTCTCACTCTTTTACTTTGCACTTGAGTGTAGGGCTATTGAGGTCGGTCTGAATGGGACCCACTCCACCCAGAGGGAATATTGTCTGACCACAGACTAGAATCTGCGAGGCCTCCTCTCTCTCTCTCTGCCTGCACCACCACTTCAAAGAAGAATAAAAAATGTGGCACATGAGCACTATTAATAAATGTATCGCTTCAGCTGCCTTTTTTGGGGGGGTGAGGAACTTTTGGTGCTACAAAGCCACCAGTCCTTTACAGTATTGCTCAGTTTTTTGTGCCCTACTTTTTTTAGTTTAAGAAGTTTTAAAAGCTTACAGTCTGGCTGAGCAAGATATGGCTTGTGTTTTTTTAGCCTTGATGAATGATGGAGAGGTAGCTACCTAGGGTGCTGGCCTTTTTCCCCCTTCATCATTTTGTACTTTCATGGTTTTAGTTGTATCATAATTTGAGGGTCTGGAAAAGAGGTTTCATAATTTGAAGGCATTGAAAAGGATCTGTGCTACACTGAAGATTTTGAACCAGTTCTTCATAGATTTTTCTTTACATTGGCTGCTTTCCATGTGCGATTTGACAGCTCTTGATTCAAAGTATTTTCCAATACTTCTTTAAGTAAAATACCACCATACTGTATAACAAAGTAATTATGCTATTATGATTTAACCAGCTAAAAACAAATTGCTTGTTTATACAGATTGTGAATCAGCCAATCATGAAGCATCATATCAATGCAATCTCACTTGTTACAATCTGTGGAGCTTGGGTGGATCTATATGCTGAGAGGCAAAGAGGTGAGCTTATAGTTTATTTATTTTATTTTTTTATGAGAGACAGCTAACATCCATATTATGGCAGAGCATCAAAGGGTGGGGTGTGGAATAGTGTGGTGTGGCTGAAAAAATTAGAAAAACAATGGTACCAATACAGAGAATTGAGCTATGGAACCAGGATCCACCTGTGAAAGATGAAAGAAAACTGACAGGAATATAATTACAGGACAAATCTGGTCATAGGTGAACGGTGTTGGATGATTAATGGCAATGAAAGAAAAAAAGAGAAGAACAGCAGCTGAATGTGATCAGTCTCTTTACACTTACACAGAAAACAAAGCCATAACTGACCTTGACACAAACTACCAGAAGAGTCTCACAAATAAAACCTGAC